AGCTGAGGATCACACGCACGTCTTCCAGCTCACCCCAGCTTCTGGGTTAGCCAGGTCGGAAATGGGACACCAAAACCCCTCACTGTGAGCCTGGGGGGATGAACAAGTCTCTCACTTGTGTGATGACCAGGAAACCCCCCAAATTCAACCTTTTTCCAACTTAAAAACAACAATAAAAACCCTCAACGGGAAATTCTAATTTCATTTGGAAATGTCATTTCCAAATGGCACATGAGAAATCATGCTCCAATCGAGCGTTGCTGACAGGGAAATATTTATCCCCACAAAATTTCCACATAAAACCATCACTTTTGTCAGTAGGTCTGGACAGCAGCAGCAGAGGGAGAAGGCAGCAAGAGGGAAGCCAGGAGGCACAGGCAGCCCTGCCTGGTGGGTGAGAGCCCCTCAAACGGAAACACAACAGGTCTCCCCAAGACTCATTTTGAGACAAGATACAGCCTTTCCCAACACAGTCATAGCAATTATCTAATATTCAAAGCCAGTTGTACCACTGTTTCCAATAGTTTAACCAACACAAGCCTCTGCTCCCAAGCCCCATAACATTCCATCCTTCAGCATCGCCGCTCTCGCCCATGTCGGAGCAGATCCTGCCCGGCACACATTTCTCAGTCTATTAGACAGAGTTATTCCTTTGCTCTGTGTTTTGATACTTACAAAGTCATTACCATCCCTCGCATGCACATCCATCATCAGGGCTTCAAACTCCAGTAAGTCCCAAAAAAGCTATTTTCCACTCACCATGCAGCCTGCCAGGCTCTGTTCTTCTACTCTGCGCGGCTTCATCCATCGAAAGACATTTCAGCAAGTTCTGAGTCCAACAAAATAAACAGATGGCAGCCCAAAAAGGTGGTGATTTTTTTTCTATGAGGGGGAGAGCAAGACGAGGGATACAGCAGGGGAGAACTGACTTCTGTCTGCCTGGTTGGAAAAGCTAACCTGGGATCTAGGCACCTATGCCCATCTGGAGCTAGGCGTGCAAGGCAACGTTTTGTGAAGCAATAGGATATTGGGAAGCTCCTGGGTTTGGACTTCTCCAGCTCCACAAACACCATGGTGTAGGGGTGCACCCAGCCTGGTGCACCCCACCAAGCACCCACCCTTCCTCCACAGGCCCCTAGCACCCTGCAGACACCCCATGTGGCGCTGCAAACCAAACACATACCATTCACCCATGTTTTGCAAGAAGATGATTTACCTCTGCATCACCTCAACAGCTCCCTGAGGGGAAACACACACCCCCTGAAATCTCCCACGTGCACCCCTAGAGCAGCACTGTGCTGCAAAACACCAGCCCTAGGGGATGCAGGAGATGCAGGGAAGAATCCCTGCCCCAGCCCAAGGCACAACAGCCCCAGGGCTGCCCCAGGCCCAGTGCAGGCACTGAGTGTTATTTCATCCCAACCCAGAAATCACCAGCTCAGACTTAGGGGGAAGATTTATGAAGGGATGTGGCCAGAGGAGGGATGGAGACAGATCTCCTTGAGAAGTGACTGATTTCTTCTTTACAAGAGGAACAGAAGTTAATTTATGAATTGGGTTAGTTAAGTTGCCAAGTGGCTTTGATGCAGTTTGCTTTTTTGCATATGTTCATGATCTATTGCACAGTTGTCAGAGCGGGAGGAAGGTCCTGGTGAGCCTGAGCAATGCATCATGCTGGCCCAGGCAGCCAACAGCTCTCAGCAAAACTAGATCACCCTTTCATCAGCCACGGGCTGATCCACTGCTTTCCCTAAGTAGGCACCTCATTCCTCCCCAGTTCACCCCTGAGGGCCTGGAGCCCCATTATATGCCACAGAGGTGGGGAGCAGGGCAGGAGCCCCTTCCCAATGCCTATGTCCAAGCACTGCTCACCACAGACACTACCCATGTGGAGTCTTCTTTCACCTTACCCACCCCCTGGGTGTTTTATAGGACCTAGAGCAAATCAGGAGAGTTCCCAGGCAGATGTGGAGCAGGGGCAGGGTGGTGGGTGCTTTATTTCATAGCCAGGGTGCACTTTTAAAAATAAACCATAGAGGGCAGAGCAATGGTGTGATGCTCCCCCCCAAAAGAAAACGTGGGGACCCTTTACACCACCCTGAGGGTCCACCCCGTCCCCCCCACACAAACAGGGATGGAGCTGCCCCTGGCTCAGCCCTCGCTCCCCCAGCCCAGCCCCAGCTCCCCCAGCCCTTACAGGTGCTTGGACGTTTTTCAAGACACAAAGTAATTTCCTGTTTGAAGCAGCTGACAAATCTGCACAGAAAGTGGATAACCCTTCATGTTTCAGAGAAATCGACTGCACAGGCTCAGGGCTCCTCTCCAATATGCTTTTTCCATCCGGTTATACGGTGGGGGGGAGATTGAGTTGAACACTCCTCTCTGTCCCACATCCAAGTGGCTTGGGGTTTAGGACACATATTGTGTCCTTCCATGAGGTTTGTGACAGTGTGTGCAGCAGCAACCCAGCCCCACCCTAACACCACTCCCAGCCCAGGAAACCCAACAGCCACTGCCAATCTTCCCTTCCTTGTACTCCCAAAAAACTCCCACCAACAGGGCTATTTAGGGGAGGAAGCCTTGGTACTTAAACTATCTCATAAACACAGCAAAACCAGCTAATGCACACTTATGGGCCTTGATGACTCTACAGTTAATAGTTGTTTTTTAGCCAGAAGCAAGAGAATTAAATCAGACTCAAGCAGTAGCCCTGCTGGGGCAGGAGGTGGCACACGGGGCTCCAGCCCTGTGCACCCACATGCTGGGGTTACACCAGGATGACCAGGCTCACCCCACTGACATCTCCAAAAACAAACGAAGGAAGGGAGACGAGTTAAGCAAGAAATGTTTGTTGCATGCAAATGGCCATTTCATGGTAGTCTGCTCTGAGCTGCCTCCTCTCCACAGGAGCCACCAGCTTGCCCAGCAAGGTCAGCACCAAGCACTGCCACCAAACCCGGCCCATCAGGACACAGAATCTCTCCCTGCTTCGGTTTTTGCCTCTGCAAAGGGAAAGCTCCCAGCCCTTGTCTTTGAGAGACCTGAACATTCAAAGGACAAACAGACCCATCAACATGAACAGAAGCCTTTTGTCCACTCCCCCCCAAACACACCACAGAGCAGCAGCAGAGGTTTCACACCTTTGCTGTAGGAAATACTGTTCCCAGAAGGAACCCACAGCCTCTCCAAGAGGCAACAAGGACAAAACTAGCACTACCCTAGACAGAGCAGCATGCTCTGCCCCACTACAGTCCCAAAAAGCAGCAGCCAAACAGCTCCACGATGGAGGCAAACAGAGATAACTGACCAGCAAGCCTACAGCTTCCTCCTTGCTCAAAATATTCATAACAGAAACCAAATTTCATCGAGGAAAAAAGCAAAAAGCCCTTACCTGGCAGCAGCCTCAGCCTCCAGAGACCTTGCAACCATGTTCCCTGGCGAGCACCATCATGCTCAGCACCTGCAGCCCCGTTTCACCTGCACCTGGGGGCCTTTTTGTAATTTGCAGGGCTGAAAGGCAGCTGTTCTGGGGCGTGACGTGGCAAACATTGCATTGCAGGGGCTCGGCACGCCTAGTTTGGGGAAAAAAAGCTGAGGCTCAGGAAGGGCAGAGAAGATGAAGAACAACTTTCTCAACGAGTGGCCTTAAGGAATTTGAAGAGAAAGGACGCTGCAAATTCACGGTGTGAATCACTCTGCATCAGACTGTGTGAATTTGCAGCGTCCTTTCTCTTCAAATTCCTTAAGGCCCCTCATTTGCAGATTTTCACTGGTCTGCAAGATGCAACCACCTGCAACCCATCCTGGCCTCTACTGCCCCATGCAGGGCCATGACCTTGCCATGCTGGGAGCAAGTGGATGCTGCTGGCTTCAGATGCAGGAGCAAAGAGCATGCTGAATAGTTTCTGGATGAGCTGGCCTGCTGCTTCAATGTCCCCTTGCTCCATGAGCTTTCTTCCCCCAGAGAAGTCACAGCCCCGAGTGCCTGAGTCAGCTGTAAATCCCCAGCATCGACCAGACACTGAATGTGACTCTTGGTGGTAGTGGAACCAGATTGCACGGATGGGAAGACAGTGCATCCTGGTTGATCCTGAAGCATCACTGGGGCTCCCAGGCAGATTTGGGGGGTGGAGAAACTATCCAGGTGATCCCAAAAGCACCAGACACTAAAGTGAACAATGGAAACAAGAGGAGCGCTACAGTAGTGTAGCGAAAGACATATTTTGCTAACTAAATCCAAGTGCAAAGCCGGTAGGTGTGTGTCCCCCTTTCCTCCAGGATGAGCTTGGCCCTTGCAGCCCCCCAGGATCTGCAGATGCCCCAGCACAGCACTGGCTGCTGAGCCCTGAGGGGTCAGGGAGGATCAGGGGATGGAGGCAAAGACATCCAGAGGCAGCTGGGGAGCCCCAGCAGCTGCACCCAATGTGACAGGGATGTTATCCTCCCCATTTCCATCCTCATCAGCTTTCTTCATCCCCCTCATCTGCTCCTTGTGCCCCCTGTGTGTTTACCTCCCTTTTGTTTCCTCTCCTTCCTCTTCTTCAGCTCTGGGCTCCATTGAAAACCCTTCCCCGGGGTGGCTGTGGAGACTCCCAGGGCTGCAATTTACCCCACTCAAAAGCCACAGCCCTCGGCCAGTCGAACTGCCACCAGTTCCTCACAGGGAGGGACGTGGCCTTAAAAAAGGGACGTTTCTGCTGGTAGAAACAGTTCTTCAGGGATTGTCCCTGTACGTGACGGGTTTTTGGCGTGGCTGGGTGGGCCTGGCCTGGAGGCTGCCAGGCACCAGGGCTGCCCCAGGGCTCTGTGCCTGCTGGTTTTCTGGCCTTGCCCCGCAGTTTCCTCCCAGCCAGGCACAAACCCACAAGGGAGGCGCAGATTTCCCCGATTAGGCAAGGCTGGGCAGCCTCTCCCCTTTCGATTTCAGCTGCCTCTTCCTCCCCGTCCCCAGAGGCAGCCGCGAGGATCTGGGCCCCGAGCGCAGCGGCCGCCGCACCGCGATGGGCACCGACCCCGGCCTGCGGGAGCCTCTGGTCAGGAAGAGCAGCTCCTCGTACCGAACCTTCTCCTCCAGCACTGTCAGGAGGCTGGACAAGGAATATCTGCGGTAGGGCTGGGGCTGTCAGGGGGGCTGAGCCCCCCATCCCCAGAGCGCTGGGCTGGGGGGAGCTGGGGGAAGAGCTGCTTCCTGCTGCTTGTCCGCCCTGGGTTGTCTTGAGATGGGGGGGTCTCATCCTGCCCAGGGTGTGCAGCCCCAGGAGGATGGGGGGGGGCAGATTGTTGGGGCATCCAACTCTCCTGGGGGCACAGGGTTTTGCTGGGGGGTTTTGAGAGGAGCCCCATCTCTGCTCCACCAGGGCAAGCTGGCTGGATCTGCGGTGCTGCCCAGGCACTGCTTTTGCTTTTCTCGTTTTGTTGAACCCACTGAAATCTGCCCCAACCAGAGGAAACTGATCAGTGATGCCCTGGGGCTCTCACCCCCCACCACACACAGCAGGAGCTGCTGCTGCTCTGCTTGGGGAAACCCACCAGCCCGGGGCTGTTTGGGGCCATTCCCTGGGAAAAAACCCTGTGGTTGTCAGAGGAACCTCAGCAAAGGCTGGGGGAGCTGCAAGACAAAGTCAAAGCTCCTACCGGGTGCCAAGATGTCCCTCTCGCTCTGCCCCTCAGGAGCCTCCACAACAAGCGGCTCTACTTGGCTGCCTTCACCGCTGTCCTGGGGAACTTCAGTTTTGGCTTCGCCCTGGTTTACCCCTCCCCTGTCATCCCTGTCCTGGAGGCTCACCCCAACCCTGCACTGAGGCTGGACCAGCACACAGCATCCTGGTTTGGGGTAAGTGAGACACTGGAGCAGCCTGCCCAGAGATGTTGTGGGGGCTCCATCCCTGGAGGTGTTGAAGGGCAGGTTGGATGGGGCTTGGAGCAGCCTGGAATGGTGGGAGGTGCCCCTGCCCATGCAGGGGATGATCTTGAAGGTCCCTTCCAACTCCACTCTGTGTGATTCTGTGATGAAGGAGCAGGACTGTCCCTGCCAGGGGGTGCGCGGGGAGGAGCCCAGACCCAGTGCAGCCCCTCTCCGTGTCTCCCCGCAGTCGGTGTTCACGCTGGGGGCGGCAGCCGGGGGGCTCAGCGCCATGGTCCTCAACGACCGCCTGGGCCGCAAGCTGAGCATCATGTTCTCTGCCCTGCCCTCCGCCCTGGGGTACGCGCTGATGGCGGGTGCCCAGGGCTTCGGGATGCTGCTGCTGGGCCGCGTGCTGACGGGGTACGCTGGGGGCGTGACGGCTGCATCCATCCCGGTAAGGTGGCACGGGAAGGGATCTGCTGGGGAATCGCCTGGAGGGAGAGCGGGAGGCGCAGAGCCTGGGGCAGCCCCCGGCTCTCTGGAGACATCAGCAGAGCCCCCTTTCTGGATGTGGGATGGGTAGGATGGGCCGGGGTTGGTGAACCTGGCACAGCCAGCCCAAGCTGCTCCCACGGCGCTGAGTTCCCTGCCTGCAGAAAAGGGAAGGCAGCTCCTCAGTCCCTGCAGTTATTTCCTCACATGGTTACCAGACGCAGCCCTCCTGTTTCACACAGAGGGGAAGGCGAGAATTGAGTAACCTCAGGGCATGTCCTTCCAGTAATGAGAGTCTGAGCATGTCCTGGAGCACTTCTCCCTCTGGGGTGTGGGAAGGAAGCAGGACTGCCTGCAAGGTGTCCTCTCTGCCTGCCAGGACCAGCTCCTGCTGCTGGACCCATCAGGTTTTCACCCCGAGAGAGCAGTTTCACACCAGTTTGGGTGTTCCCTGGCTGTGGTGGATGACCAGAAGACAGGTTTTGGAGGTGATGGCTCTATATTGCAGCTCTGCTAAGGGTGTGTTGTCCTGCTCCAGGTCTACATCTCAGAGATCTCCCACCCTGGGGTCAGAGGCATGCTGGGTGCTTGTCCACAGATCATGGCAGTGCTGGGATCCCTCATCCTGTATGCTCTGGGCAAGTATCTCAGTGTTTGGAGGGCACAAAACCCTCAGTGAGACCTTAGGAAAGGGTTGGTTATTTTAAACAACTTCCCTAGCAAGCTGAGGGATTCCTTTCCTCACAGCCACCACACCAGGCATGCCAAGGGGGCTGAGCAGGAGCTCCTGTGCATAACCCACACATGTAGCTTTGCTCAGAGGGATAAATCCATAACCCTCACAGGCCCATGGCCATCATTGTGCCCCCAGACCTGGGTCCTGCTGAGGTTTCACCAGGGCTGAAGGGCCCTGCATGTGTACCTCCTGCCATCTTATGCCCTGGTTGCTGCAGGATCTTGCTGGATCCTCCACAATTTGAGGGAGCTTGCTGGAATTTCCCTGTATCATAGAGCTGAAAATGCTTTTTTCCCAGGAGAAAAACATGAAAAATCTCTCTATATTTTTTTTCCCCCCACCGAGTTTATTAAATTGAATTCTTGAGGTGCTCACATGGAGGCAAGACCAGGACACCCTTCCTTGTGTGCTTTCTGCTCCTGATTGTGCTGCTCTGGCAGGGCTGGCCCTGGACTGGCGCTGGCTGGCGGTGGCAGGGGAGGTGCCCGTCCTGGCCATGATCATCCTGCTCTGCTTCATGCCCAACTCACCCCGGTTCCTGCTGTCCCAAGGGAAGGATGACGAGGCCCTGAGGTCACTGTGCTGGCTGCGGGGCAAGGACACTGACTATGCCAGGGAGTATGAGCAGATGAAGGACAGCGTGAGGAAGCAGGTGAGGAGGGGACAGGGCCCACCTCCAGCACGGGGAGATGCGATAACAGCAAACTCCAGCTTCCTTTGGACAACTCCTGAGCCATCTTCTGGGTGCTGCAGTGGTGCCCAGAGGTGGTTACACCTTGGCTTTCTGGCTTTGTCCCCTCCAGAGCCAACGGGTTTCCTGTGCAGAGATCAAGGACCCCTTCATTTACAAGCCCCTCCTGATTGCAGTGGGTATGAGGTTCCTGCAGCAGCTCTCTGGTGTCACCTGTGTCCTCGTGTACCTGCAGCCAATCTTCAAGAAAACAGCTGTCATCCTGGTGAGCCTTGGGGTTCAGCCCGTGCTTGGACAGGCTTGTCTCCAGTGATGGCTGCCCAATGCTTCAAGACCCTGTGGCTCCAAGACCCCAAGTTGGAAGAAGCCTTTTTAAAAGCACCTGGTTGGCAGCAACTGCCAAGTACCTGCCCTCCAAAAGGCTGCATGAGGATGGGAGGCAGGACTGGCTCCACTGTCTCCCTGCTGTCCTTCTCTGAGCTTCAGGCTCTTCTTCTCTGGCTTCTTACTATGGGAGGAAAGCTTTGACAAAGTCGTCAGGCAGAGTCAAGGCAACACATGCAGGAACCTGCCCTTTCCCTGGCTTTTCCAGCTCAGCATTCCCACTGGTTTTGCCGTTGCAGAAACCAGAGTACGACGCAGCTCTTGTTGGTTTGGTGCGTCTGTTCTCGGTGGTGGTCGCTGCCCTGTCCATGGATAAGGCTGGGAGGAAGATCCTTCTCTTTATATCAAGTATGTCTCTCTCCTACTCTTGTTTAAGGATTTCCAGGAGCTCTGCAAATGTTCAGGCTGGAAACTTCAGCCATGTAGGACTTGGGCAGGGAGGGAGGTGGTGGTGGTGGCTCAGCTCCTGAGCAGAGGGATTGCTGAGAGCTCATTGGTCCCACTCTGCTGTTGCATCTCTCCATAGCTGGTGTCATGTTGGTCTCCAACCTGACCATGGGGCTCTATATCCACTTCGTGCCAGCTTCTCAGAATGGCACCATTGCCAACAAGACCATGGTGAGCCCAACCAGCCTTCCTGCAACCTGCTGAGCCGACCAACTACATCACCCTCATCCCCCTCCTGGCAACCATGTTCTTCATAATGGGTAGGTGCAGAGAGAGAGAGCCCAGGATCACAGAGCACAGGGCTGGGTACCAGCCTGGGGAAATGTTTCTTGTCTGAGGCAGGGTGATATGAAGCAAGGAGATTTGGTCTTGAAAGGCAGGTGTCCCTAGAAGGCCAAGAAAGATGGCAACTGAGGTCACTTTGAGGGCTGACAGAGCATGATGGGGGGAATAATAAATTATGCAGGAGCAGGGCAGGATTGCACAGGGCTCTTCTGCACTCTCCAGCAGGTTTTGAAGCTTCAACACCTCACCCCTCCTCCCCCTGCAGGTTATGCCATGGGCTGGGGCCCCATCACTTGGTTGCTGATGTCAGAGATCCTCCCTCTGAAAGCCCGTGGGGTGGCCTCGGGCCTCTGCGTAGTGGTGAGCTGGCTGACAGCCTTCACCCTGACCCAGTTCTTCCTCCAAGTCGTGGTGAGTACTGTCCCAGGAAGGTGTCTGGTGTCCAGCAGCCTCTCCCTCAGACCTCTCAGCACCAGCTCATATCTGCTTTCTGTCCTGCTTTGCAGAAAGCCTTTGGCCTCGAGGTGCCCTTCCTATTCTTCACGGTCATCTGTGCTGGGAACATCTTGTTCACAGGCTGCTGTGTTCCAGAAACTAAAGGCAGGTCCCTGGAACAAATTGAGGCCTTCTTCAGAACTGGCCGGAGGTCATTCATGAGGTAGGAGCTCCCATCTGCCAGCAGCACCAGGCCAGGTGCTCAAGGACTAGAAAGAAGAGGGTTGTGCTGCTGGAGGTGGAGGCTGGAGCTTCTCTGCAAAGGCAACAGATGAGGAACCAGCAGCAATGACCATCTTGCAACTGGAACTTTATCTTCCTTTTCCATCATCCGACACTACCTGCTGCTCTCTGGGCAACATGTCAACCTGAGGCATGGGACCAGGTAACCAGCATCAGGCTGGAGATAAAGATGCCCTGGAAAATAAAACATGGCTGTGGACAAAGGACCATACATGTCCTTTTGCAGCCACTCAAGCAGCCCGAGAGCCCCAGGGTTTGGCTGAAACAGAATTAGCAGCTGAAGCCATTTTGGCAAAAGTTCATTATGTAGTTGCAAGAATAAAACAGTTTTCCCTCCAAGTGTAAGATGGTGCCTTGGTTTGCAGAGAAAGGAGCTGCAGGAGGGTGAGATGGAGAGGCAGACCTGGACTGGGACAAGGGGATCACACCACCCTGCAGCTTCCCAGATGAGTCTCATGTACTTAAGGACTTTAAAAGAGGCAGAGCCAGGTATTTTGTACAAAAAGCTGCCACGTTTTATTGCTCTAAAAACACACGTTACACTAGAAGCCCAGTGAACAAGACCAAGTACAGTTGACAAAGAAAATCCAGGACAAAATGAAGAACAAGAACAGACCAACATTCAGCTGTAGTGCAAGTGATTCACTGCAGGAAAGACACAGCAGGTACTGACAGTACCTTGTGCTGGGATGGGTCCTTCCCAGACCAGAGTTCTACTCATCCACAGAGAGGAAGGTGGATGTGCCTCCATCACAGTTGTGTGTGAAGCCTCCACATCCATCACTTTATGATTTCAGCTGCATAGTTAGTAGCAAATTGTTCTTACCCCTTTCCTGTGTGTCCTGCAAGATGAAGGACTTCACATTTTTTTTAGAGCCCAACCCTAGGTAAAACTCAGCCCCAGCTGGTGGGAATGGCTGCAAGGAGCGAACAGCCTTGCTGAGTATCACATCCAACATAACTCCTCCCAGAAGGGCAGAAAAATAAAGGCAGGGTTGGGAGATGCTTTGCCCAAGTATTTGTCCAACTACCTGAAATGCACTTGGCACCCCAAGGGCTGGTGGAGATGCTTGTGTCCTGCCATCCCTGGGACATTCAGCCTGCTGTGATGAGGAAGCATGGGGTAACAGTGTATCTGACCCAGGTCTCTAGGCACACTAGCTGCTATTTAGATCCCCTCTAGCAGATGAGAGAAACCACCGAAGAGAAGATGTGCTTTATCAGAGGATTAGTTTAAAGCAGCCTGGGACAGAGGAAGGGAAATGGGCCAAAAATCAAAACCACAGAGAATTCAGCATTAGATCTGACCCTTGCAGCTGAGACCCATTTCCAGAAAGATGTTCAGCCCTGGCTGGAATATGAATGTTTCTATGCTTTGCCTGATTACACGAGGTCTCAAGAGCCTCTAGTTTCCACTGACCTTCTGAAGACCAGGATCTCTGGCAGCCCTATGCTAGAGCATTCTCTTTCTCACATGGCTATGGACCAGGTCTTGATATCTTCACTGCAGTCAAACCCTTCCCTGAAGGCAGTGGATGTTTTTTTCCTGAGGAGAAAATGACAAAGATGAATTGAGCTTCTAGGGCTCAGCCTAAGGAGAAAATGCCCAAATATGAAATGAGGTTGGACTCCTCAGGTCCTGTGAGAACCTCATTGGAGAAGCATTTTCTGATTGACCTCCTTTCTTCAATATAGGAAGTCTGAGGGGTTTTGCTACAACATTTAGAGTCTGAGAAATCACAGTGGCTCTTTCCAGAGGTAGAATGGTCTTTTTATTCACTGCACACACAGGAAATGAATTGGTGTTACAAAATCAGCTCCTGCCCAGAGCAGCAAGGTCTGGTTATGGAGCAGAACATGAGCTTCTGCCCTTCTCTTCATGCCCAATGGGCAGCCCAGGGGACACTGGAGCTCCTATGCACAAGTGCTGTCAGCTTCATGACTGAATGGGACATGGAAGAGTTGCACACTGTATAAATGCAGGTGGGTTAAAGTGCCCAGCTCAAGTGGTAGGTGGTAAAAGAGTCCATTGCTGAGGGCACCTGTACTGGTGTCTTTCCACATTTGGTGACACCAACTCACTGCAGTCAATGCATCACCCACCTGTGAGTTGCCACCTAATAAAACTTCTGTCCCATCATTTCCCAAAAGACCTTTCCAAGACCTGCCAAGCAGAACCTCTTCCATGGAGACCCAGTGGATTAGCCATCCAGCCTGGATGCCACCAGCAGGGATTGGATTGAGCCTGTGGAGTCTCTAGGGCAGGGCTTTTAGCTTCATTTATCCTTAGCAGCTCCAAGTGCCCTGATGGTGCCTCTAAACACAATAACCACCATGCACTGTGAATGGTCTTGTTCACTACTGTGAGGCTACTACTCTAAAGATCCTTTCTACCTCCACAAAAACAGTCTCTTGCCCACATGGAGGTGAGACCATCCTCTAACTGTCACTACAATCCTTAGAGAAGCCCTGGGTGTTGTCAACAAGCCAACATCTGCAATGACAGCAGCATCTGGCTTACTTTCAGCTGCATCACAGACAGCTGAAAATTCCCAAGAGCTCCCACTCCAGACACACATCTGTAGAAGTCAGCAGTCTTGGAGCACAGATCTGAGACACCTCCTGTTGTGGCAGGCACAGAGACACTGAACAGACCCCGTGTCTTTAAGCACTGTGGCCAAAGGCTCCAGCTCAGCTCTTGCAGGAGGGTCCCTGAGGGCCATTTTCAGCAAAAGCCTTGAGCTCAGGGTGGCAGAGCTGATGTGGATTGTTTGCTTGCCTTGGCTCCAGGGTCAGACCCAACTGCCACCAAGAGTGGACATGGCAGGGCTGCTGGTGTTCAAGGAACTTCTGCTGTGGGTACCAAGGGAGCAGAGTGGACCCGTCTGTGCCAACGAGCCCTCCAGGTGACCTGGAGCAGCATCTGCCTGTGCCAGCCCCAGGGACTGTCCTACCACCATAGACCTGCAGCAGTCAGGGAAGCCAGAGAAGGTCTCCCCAGCTCTGTGGCTCGTCACCACGGGTGTAGATCAGCCTGCAAGCATTATTCTACCACCTCTGCTTTGCCTTTCACCTCCTGTCACTAAAGCTACTGTAGAACTACTCACAGAGCAAAGCAGTCACTACCAAAGACATGCTGGCAGCTACGTGCATCAGGCTGCAACATTCCTCTACTAACCACTACTTAACATCCCCCCACTCCCCCCCATAAGCCCCCCAGACATCCAAGCAGGTGTCCTGTTTGCTAGGCAGGACCCTGCACCTCCATCACCCACTAAAGGTACTGCCTGGGGACACCAAGGAGCAGAGGCTGTTCCCACCACAGCACCTCGGGTGGTGCAGGGGTAAGGGGGGGCTGCAGGAGGAACACACTGCACCCCTGGGGGTGCCCTCACCCAGCACCCCACACAGGAGGCTGTAGTCCCTGCACACATGCCCAAGGAAGGCTGATGTCCTCTGGATCACACGCTGGGGGCTCCAAAGTGGCACAGCCTGTGTCTGCAAATACACCCAGGCTGCTTTCCTGGCTGGTGCAAATCCTCACACTTCTCCCAAAGAAACAGCAGCTAATCCTCAATCCAGCACTCAGAGCCCAGGTTTCCTCCCCTCTCTCTCCCAGAAGAGGGGGAAACCAATTTTGTCCAGCCAGGGGCCCAGAAGATGACAAAGGGGTCAAAGGACAATACACTTGCCAGAAGTCTGAGAAATGCTCTGAAGGTTGGAATAGGATTTTATGGTCTCCCAGTTCCAACATCCCCAGTTAGTTCCAGCATCCCAGTTCCAGCAGCCAGGGCTCTCCCTGGATTCACAGACACCCCCCCCCCAGTGAAATGAGACAGGTCTTTGAAGGACAGGAACAGCACTCCTTTCTCCTAAGTCCAGAGAAAATGAGTCTCATCAAAACACCTAAATAACTAGAAATAAATTATTCCCCATTTTCCTAATCAAAATAAAAAGCAATCACGTAAAATCAAATAAATTAAAACTCCCAGAAGAAAGTATGATGAAAAGAGGGGGGATCTGGACTCAGCAAAACAGTTTTGTTTCTGCATGATACAAAGCAAATGGAAAATATCATGTGAGAATCACTGATGGAGCCTGGAATAAAGCAGCAGGACATCCCAGCTCTCCAAACCAACTGGTGCAGACTTCTCTGGGTTTGCCTGGGAAGGCTGAGCCACCTGCCCATGCAAAACCAGCCCAGGGCTGCTGCAAAGAGCACATGAGCCCAAAGAAAAGGGCTGTACCTGAACCAAAGAGCAGGTCCCTGATGCAGAGGGATGGGTCACAGGAGCAGTGAGCAGAGCAGAGCAGAGCAGTCCCAGGCTCATGAGAGCAGATGCTCTTGCACACCAGTAACCCTTACACCTGCAAAAAATCCTTCTTGGCTCCAGCAATAAAACACCCTTTTTCAGCTGAGGTAAAACAAACCTTATCTCCTTTCTTCTCCAGGAAAAGAGTAAAGCTTAAGAAAAGTACCCTTATTAAGACAAAGTCAGTAATTCTTATAATTCAAGTAAATTGCAGTGTGGCTGCCTGCAGCTGTACCCAGAGGAAGGGTGCTTTGTAGGTATTAGGCTCTGCCCCAGCTCCTCTGCAGAGAGGATTATTGTCTTTACATGTTTTTTTTGCTAGAAGTCCTTTCCTGTGCAGTGATGCCTCTCATGCCTGGTCTAACTGGACCCATCTTGAACATGCTTAGTGGAAGAAGACCAGGCTTAAGCATCACCATGTATTGCTAAACTCTGGATTAGTGTATGACACCTGGGAAGGGCCAGCAGCTCCCTGGCTGCCAGGAGACCAGAGCTGGCATGTCAGCTCTGTCCATCCTCACCCCAACTGCAGAGCAGCTCCCAAATGGGCACTGAACCTTCAGCTTGTCATCAGGTGTCACTCTAAAGAGAAGCTGCCTGTTCAGGCTTGTAAAGCAGCACTCAAAGAGCCAGCACCTCTGCAGGAAAACAAAATAGAAATAAATAAAAAAAATAGAAGGACTGAGAAATATTTGGTTGAGAGTTGAGGAGGAGAGAGAGGCCAATGCACTGAGGTCTGGCTGCTGGTGTGAGAAGAGGACACAGCCCACCCCAGCCCCTGAGATTTCCACTTGCTGCAGAGTCCAGGGAAATCGTGGTGTAACAGAGAGGGGAGTGGGCAGAGGGAAGGGCAGAGTGGATTCCTGTATCTTCACCAACATCTCAGTGTCCAGGAGAGGTTACCCCAAGCTCATGTGCTTCAGAGAGCCTGTCCCTCCGTGGCCCCTGTGAGCTTCTCTTCATCCATTTGCTTCTGCTGCTGGTGGATCCGGGCATAGGAAATGGCATCTCCCCTGCAGAGAGAAGGGACAGCGTGGGGACAGGAGCTCTGGGTGCCCCCCAGGCCCACCAACTCTCCCCACCAGGGCCTGGGCTCCTGGGTGCCAAGGGATGCCAGGAGTGAAATGAGACTTTCTGGTCCTCCCCAGCCCCACCGAAGCCACTCACCACCCCTAGAGCTAAGCCCATCCAACCCAGGGCTGCAGAAAGAGGGCTGGAACCCACAGGGCAACCTGGATTGAGCTCCAACCTGGATTCAGCAAACCCCCCAGGGCTTTGGGCCAATGGCAGGTGCTCCCCAGCAGCACCCACACCTGAAAGCACCGTCACTGCGAGAGGAGAGCACAGCCCCGGGGACGGGCACGGCAGCGAGGGGGCTGGGGTCCCACCTTCCCCTTCCCTCCCCCCTCCAGGAGCAGCCAGACCCCTCTCACTTCTTGCCCAGCGCCGACAGCCCGTACAGGACCCCGGTGCCGAAGGCGGCGGCGTTCCCGAGCAGCGTGGTGAGCGACAGGCTGAGCGCGACCGGGAAGGCGGCCATCCTGGGGAGAGACAGTCCTCAGAGCCAGGCTCAGCTCCCCGCTCGGCGCGCGCAGCCGCCACGTTGGCGAACTCGATGAACTGGCAGCAGAACGGGGCCTCGCACAGGAACAGCACGAAGGCGTTGAGCCTCCAGACACAGCAAACCAGAGTTAATCCTGCCTGCCTGGAACAGGTGCCCCCCACCCCGGACCTTCCAGACCAGCCCCTTCCATGCCCCGACACAGGCAGAAAGGAACGGCGGGGCTGGACCCCTCTGAGCTCCCTCCCGCTTAAGTCCCAAAGCCTGGTGACTTATTTTGGATAAGGGTATCCCAGTATTGACCTAAAAAAGGAGTAGGGGAAGGGGTAGGGAGGGAAGAATAATACAAATAGAATTGACCCAGCATGTCAACCCACCCCCCAGGGCAGGATCTGGCAGTTCACAGACCCGCACAGCCTCACACCCAGCGCCCAGAGGCAGCTCTGCCCCTTGCTCAGTGGTGCCTCATCAACCAAACCTCCCTCCCACCATGGAAAAAAAGAAACTCTGCTCACATCATCCACACGCCAGCAGCGATGTTCAGGGGGTTGATGGTGACACAGTTCCAGAGACCAGCGAAGGCACAGGCTGGAAAGCAAAGAGGTTTTCAGTCACCATCAAGACCAGTGCACCCACAAGGGCAGTGAGGCCAGAGCCCAGCAGGCAGGGCTGGCTTCTCCTCCCAGGACCTGGCAGCCACACCAGCATGATTTTGTTCTCCTGTATTTTGGGCTGTTTGGCAGAGCAAGGGCTGCCCAGAAGAGCTTTTGCCTTGCCCAGCACCTCTGGGCACTGTAGAGCAGCCTGTACAGACCAGTACAGGAGGATGGGTGGAAAGGTCTGATGGCCTGACAAGGGGTCCAGGATGCCAAGGAGAGGGTTTCTTCCCAAGTCCTCCAGCCAGGCTTCCTTTTGCTTCAAGCACTTGGTGTCTCAGCATGACACACAACTATTCCACTTGTGCAGAAACAACAGACCGTTTGCTTTTACATGGAGTCACCTCTGACACCCTGGGTTTTATTTCCTAAGCTTTGTAAAGGGGTGAACAAAGAGGTCCCAGCAGGTTCCTATCTGTGAGCAGCACGGGGAAAGATCAGCAAAAACAGGACTTGCAGTGCCAAGGCACACAGGCAAACAATAAATAAAGAAGAGGTGAACCCGGGCTCTGCCACCCATTGCTGGGTCTGCACTAGAGATGGGTGAAAAAGAGCCAAGTTTGGGTCTCCACAAACACAAATAGAAGCAGATGCTGGACAAAGCAGAGCCCAAAATAGCCCCAGTGCTCCTGACTCTGTAATGCAAGAAGAGGAACCAGGCAGTAGCCCCCAAGCTGAGCTGCCTGCACCTCCATCCTGCATCATTAAACTTGCAGAGCGATCCTGGCACCTGATATGGCCCTTTCTCTCCTCTCACACCCACCTGCTGCTGCTCCCCTGGGAACTTGAGCCTGGGTATGGGGGGCAGCCAGACATGGCTGAGTCCAGGGGAAACAACAACCCCCTGCAAAACTCCAGCTAAAATTAAATAGACCTCAAAGGCTGCCTGGGGGACATTTAGCAGCACAAGGAAGAGCAGCAGAATCCACCTCTGAGTTATCTGAGATGTCTGCTCATGTTTTGCTGAGGGGATCCCTGAGCAGGGCTGCTGCCAACAGTCCTGACCTCCAAAAGCCCAGCACATTTCTGCAAGGTTTCTTGTCAGCAGTAACTGCTGAATCCTCAAAGTTCCCTTAAAAATAGTTATCCTTGTTCACCAGACTGGGCAGCAGAGCTGCAGGCCTGTGACTGGACTGATCTAAGGTCAGCCCACAAGCAAGTGGCCTCCTGGATTCAGGAAACAACCAAACAAGGTTACTTTTAAAGGCTTCCTAGGACTATTCTACAGGACCCAACAGCTTTTGGAGAATCCTGCACAAACAAGATCAGCCAACAGAGGAGAAATGCCTGAGGTCATGTTAATATCCATGCTCCAATGGTGCTTCTCAGCCTCCCATCACAGAGTGACCAGCATCAATGTCTGCAAGGGAAACTGAGGCACTGGGATGGGATGAGCTGCTCACAGTCACACATGGAAACAGCTGGAGAGCTGGAAAAGCCACAGCAAGTGGGATTGGTGGGAGTAGCTCAGAGAGCAGGGCATGACATGGGGGTTTCTAATTCCTCTCTGTGACCAACAAACCCTTAGAAGCCAACAGGAGAGGAGCTCGGGTGAAGCACCACAGGCTTGTGACAGTCACCCAGGAAAGCTCACTTTGGAAAATGATATTAAGTGACTTTCACGTACTTCATAAACTTCATAAATCAGCTGCACCTTGACTATCCCTGATCTCAGCCAGGACTGGGGCAGAACCCTGCCTGGTTTAGCAGCACAGCAGAGTGGAGCAGCCCCAGAGGTTCACAGAGCCACAAAACCCATCTCAACCACCAAACAAACCTGGAAAAGCAGAATGTTATTTTTTTCAGGCAGGTTTTTGACCTTTTTTTAAAAAATTTATTCTTTTTTCCCTTTTGGATCTAGCTAACCAGGGGTTGTTTTGTCAGGGCTCTGGTTTGGTTTTGTCCTCCAACACCCCAAAAGAACCCTAAACATCCCTGCAGAAGTTTCAGCTAAGCAACCACCCTGGTTGCCAAAGGACTAATGACCCAGCAAGCCTGAGCTGAGCAAGCCCCTACGTCAGCATGAGAACCAACCAGTGGGAAAAAATTCCAAGGTTTCTAATCACAGGAACACAGCACTCCATGGTGGTTGCCAACAGCCACGGAGATAACGATTTGGTGACCTTCAGTCTCCTCTGTAGAGCAGCACATCCCCCAGCAGCCTGGTACACCCTTGTCCCACTGGGACAGGATCAGCCCCTGCCTCAGTAGCCAAAAAAATGATGAAGCTGCCAGCCTGGAGACTTCTTTTTGCAAAACAGGAGCCTTGCAATAGGTTTACAATGCAGATAATGTTCAATGGCACGTAAGCTATGGAACACAGACAGTTCTGCCATTTGTTTTAACTGCTGTTCCACCCTCAATCCCTGAGGAAGCACAAATAACTGGGAGCTAAAAAGAGGGGGGAAGATCACCACCCTCCACAAAGGCTCTATTCATTTTAAGCAGCTGGTCACTGTCCTCAACACCAGCCTAATTTTGCTCCTAGAGCATTTTACAGAAGCCACAGACTCTCCTCATCGTTTTACAAACAGGAACACAAGGGAAAGAAGGGACTTGGCCAAGGTCACCAAGCCAGACTGTGCAAGAGCCAGAAACAGATCCCAAACCTCGTCTTGTTCCTGCCCTGGGCCCTGGACCTTTCTGGCTGAAGTCATGGGCTGCAGGTGTTTGCATGAAGTTTGTCTGTCAGTCTCACCTGCACTAACAAAGTTTCTCTTCCTTTCTACAAGGAATTCTTCCTCTGTAAGAAATAATGCAGCCCCGTTGCAGGACCACAATCCAGTTACTCAAAAACCTTGTAGATGAGCTCTGTTCTTTCCTAGCCAGCTCTGAAAACAGCAGCAAACTCCCCCCCTTGCTGTTTAATTACTCATCCCTTTTGCAAACTGTCCACCTTTCACAAGGTGGTGCTCAACAAGGAGCATTTTAGAGACTCATTACTAGGTACAGAGCCTGTGTCTCACACTGCCTCGTTCTTTGCCCAAACCTCACAAAGGGAAAATGTCAAGGCTACAGAACAAGCAGTTTCCCCAGATCATTATCAATCCTGCTAAGAGCCCAGCTGTTCTTCCAAAAGTTTCTTCTCCCAGACTCACCCAAATACATAAAACCCTCAGCTTTCCTTTAAAAACAAGCCACGAGTTCTCAGAGCTGTGAACAAAAGGTTGGGAAAATAATCCAAATGTAATTCAGCTGCTTTGAAAGGTGAAGACAGAGGAAAAAAAACCACCAAACTGCCCTGCAGGACTTGCACTGCTTTCAGGAGCTGCTCCAGCACGAGGTGGCAATGCCACCAGTGAGACCCAACACCCTTCCTCTCGGGCTCCTCACCCTCCAGCCACATCCCCTGAGCTCTGTAGGGGCCAAAGCCACACAAAAAGTGCCAAAGTTCCAGAGACAGCCCGTGGGAAAGACACTGCTACAGAAACTCCCCCACCTGGGACCTGCACTGGAGACATGTCCCAGCTGGTCCCGTGGCCGCCTGCCGGGACCAGACCTGCAGGGGCCTCAGGCAGAGCACAGCAAGGCCAGTGCTTTCCCCCCCTTAAGAGCAGTCCTACCAAATCTTTTCACACCTCTGGAATTTCAGCACCTAAGACATAAAGCAATGAGAGCAGCATATGTTTTACCAGCCCAGCCAAAAAGGGCTGCAACGAGCCTGACCAACAGCACCACGGTCTACAGGGTCAGCTGCAAAAAGGGCTTGTGCAGTGAAGTCCCAGGGAAAGAGGCAGGATAGGAGTGAGGCAGGGAGAGAGAAGGACCAGACAAAACAGCACAGCAGAGGGAATAAATCAGGCTTGACTGCACTGGCTGAGAAACACTCTTGTTTTACTAGAAGTCATGGACCTGAAGCAGAAGAAACTCTCCATCCTGTGCTCTGCAGGAGATCAGACTAAGCAGTCGTAACAGTCCCTCCTGCTTTTAAGAGCTATTAATCTCTCCACAGAACGGAGCAAAACAGGACAGGCTGATTTCTGGCAAAGTTGCAAAGTTTCTTTCCCTGGGAAAATGTTTTTCAGCAGCAGGTAATTCCGAGCACAGCCAACTCCCTTCGCTGGACACTGGCTCCCTTCTCCTGCCTGTCCAAGGCTAAACCCCTCAGAAACACACAACACAAACCAAGTCCAACCTTTGCCTTCAAAAAAAGGCACAGCCAAGACCCCTGCGAGCAGCAGCAGCAGTAACAGGATGCTCCAACATTCAGGACAGAGAAACTAAGTTGCAGCAACGTGCAAACACTTGACCCTCAAACAGGATGAACCAAAGCCCGAGGCCCCTCTCCCCGCTCAGAACCTGACCCTGCTGAGCACCCTGTGCCTGGTGCTCACGGTAGAACCACCTGGTTTCCCTGCCCCACAGGACCAGGGGCTCGGCTGCTGCTCCCACCGCCTCCAGCAAGTGCTGCACCCCAGAAGAAACTCAAGGATTTGCAGATCCTGCCGTGATGTCCCTTCTCCCAGGAGCCAAAGTTTCGGGTTCATGCACATCCCTCAAGGGCCAGATGAGCCCACCCCACTCATCTCCCACGACTCTTCCCCCTGCCCAAAACACAACGGGCTGGTGTCTGGAGCAGACACAGCCCTGTCACCCCAGCGATGCTCCCACGGGACCCCGACCAGAGGTGGGTGGGCAGGACCTGGGGCACCCAGGGGCACCCAGGGGGACCCTCTGGCTGCAGGGGAAGGGGGAGGGGGATACTCACAGATGCCCCCGACGACCCCAGCGATCCTGCAGAGCAACATGTACC